TTCTTATATTGACGAATTCCTCTTTTTTTTGTCAGCTACAACATCTACATCATTGGAAAAAAATTAAGGTTTGTGGCGTTGCGACCTCCGATGTTAGCTTGTACTCAGCAACAGAGCCTCTTAACGTAAATCCAAGAAAAAAAAATCTTAGTACGTTTTACCGAATTTGACAGTATAAAAAACTGACGGAATACTATGGGTTATCCCACTTGAGTTTGCCAAAAAAAGAAAAGAAAAAAAAACCGTCGCAAGGAGACGCCCCTTAAGCCTATAAAAACGCGTGCATTTCTTTCCCTAGCCTCTCTCACAGCTTTTTAGCTTTGGCATTCAGATGTATTTCGCACGAGGGTAAAGTGTCCCTCACCGGGAAACGTTCATTTTCATGGTTTTCTCTCTTGACTTTTGTACTCTCTCACACACGCTTGTTTGTTTGTTTAGCAGTATACCAACTCTTTATCGGTCATTTAATGCCAAAATTTAATCTTCTTGGGAACATTAGTAATTTGTTTTACAAAAACGTATTGCTGGTAATATTTTTTTTTACTATGAAAATATATTGCTGGTATTTTTGATATAAAAATGTATTTTTATACTTTCATAGTGCTTTAGTCCCAGTTTGGGGGTTCACTATTTGTACATAAGCTGGGACCCTAACAGGTGCTACCAGCCCGCGTCAGGGTGAACCTTGGAACAACAGAAGTTAAGGGGCAGTTCCACGCTCCTCAAAACCTCCCAATCAAAGGCCTTGCTGTCGGATGTAGATTATTGTCATACCAAAGACACCTCCCGATCAGAGGCCCTGCTGCCGGATGTAGTTTATTGTCATACCCAGGACACCTCCCGATCAGAGGCCTTGCTGCCGGGTGTAGTTTATTGTCATACCCAGAACACCTCCTGATCAGAGGCCCTGCTGCCGGATGTAGTTTATTGTAAGTATGTCCACTGTTTTCGCGGAAAAACAGCATAGCGTAAATGAAAAATGCCACAAACTTAAAGAAAATAAAGTATTATCGTCAAAATGCTTATGTTATTATTTAGATGAAAGAAAAAACTATTTTTTAATTATTTTTGAAATTTTTAATATTTTTCTAACACGTTCGAAATTTTTTGTTAAAGTCGTTTTTTGTTTACGTTCGCGGTGACGTTTAAAATAACATTTTTTTGCGTTTTTTTACTGTTGAAAACATATTGATTTGGAAATTCTTGTAAAAATAAAATAATTGTCCAATCTTAATGAAATTTTCAGGACTTTTTTTGAAATTATTTTTTATTTTTTTTAGAAAATTTTGGTAAAATTATTTTTTTTAAAATATGTTATATTGATTTAATGAAATTTCGCCCAAAACCTTTTTGGTTCCTGAATTTTTTTTTGTTAAAAGTAAGTCTTCGAAGATGGTAAATAACCTACTTTTTTTTTCAAATTTGAGCTATTTAACTGAAAATCTGCTCTGAATTGAAAAATAATGAATCCAATAAAACTATGATATTACTTAATTAGAAAAGCTTTTAATTGCTTTTGTAAATAAGTAAAGGACATTATTGTCTGAAGAAATAATTTTTTTCTGATGAATAATTAATTTTTACAAGAATTTTTTCGTTTTTTAAGAAATTTTAATTATAATAATTTATAATAGTTTTCGTGTAAAGCTCTGTATTAGGAGGGTTCCTCGATATTATGTAGTAATTAAGTAGAAAAAAAATTTACGAATCCAAAATTGCTAAGATTAATAAATTTAGTTGCGCTACTTTTTTTAAAAATAATTTTTATGTTGTATTTTTTTTACTTAATACATTCCTTATTTCCATGTATGATATACAGAAATTGCCATTATTATAACAAGGTCACGTGATCTAAGGGTTTTGTCCCTTTACGTGGCCTTTTCAAAACATTTCGTGTCTTAAGGATTGTATTTTCCGTTCAGATTTAAAAGTGTAAACTTTAAATTTTAAATTATTTTTTCTTTTTTTCATTTACTATTTCACTAAGTAATTTTATTTTATGCATTGTATTTCCATTAGTGTGTGTCATACTCAAATAGAATAATTTTTTTAAAAACTCAGACTTAAAAATTATGTCATTTATGGTCATCAGTAGTAGCTGTCATCGGCTCGTCAATCAACCATCATCAATAAGGTCGAACAGATGAACGGGACCGCTCGTTAATAATTGGTTGTATATTATTTTTTATGCTATAAGTAACAAAGATTTCTTTGAAATCAGATTACTTTAACTTTAAATTTTTTAATTTTACTAAAATAACGTGTCAGAATTTTTTAAAAATATTTTAAAAATCGATAAATTTGTGTTTGTTTACAAATTTCTTAAAATTAAGAAAATGGCCGTTTTTAAGAAAATTTTAAAATTTGAAATTAAATTTGACAATCAAATGTATATAGTTTCTATTTGAAATACACCAGAATTGTTTAATTAATAGAAATCGTAAAATTAATTATTAAACTTTCAATTAAAGCTTAAATGAAATCTTCAAGAATGTTTTTTCGTTGTAAAAAATTCATTTTAAACTTCAATATAGAAAATTTATGCCGAAATGGTGGAGGTACTTAGTTTATTGTCATACCAAGGACACCTCCCGATCAGAGGCCCTGCTGCCGGATGTAGTTTATTGTCATACCCAGGACACCTCCCGATCAGAGGCCCTACTGCCGGATGTAGTTTATTGTCATAACCAGACCTGTGTTTGTTACGACTACACACGGAAACAAGCAAGCACATTCTTATTATAGCTAGTTTCATTTTCTTTCCTTTCGGCACCTAATTACATGCATTTTTGTTTTATATTTATTGTTTTGTGTTACTCATTTTTACTTGGAGTCGCATTGAGTCCGCCAATATTGTTTGTGAGATAAATTTTCCAGGTGCCCTAAATATTTACTCTCCAAAGTATTGATTTCAGCAACATAATGGTGACTAATATTTACTCCAACATACTATAATTCCGCAACAATACTAGGGAAACTCACATAGGAAGTGAGTTTCTATTAATAGCCATATCATGCTTGGATCGGGGAGAAATCTGATCTACCACGCGATTCCGAGGCCTTCATTTCGTAATGCCATTCACCACGTCGGGATGAGTAGATGTGTGAGGAATTAATAGGGAGAAGAGCTGACATAGCAGAAATTATCCCAAGTATCACCCGCCTACCCACGCGTACGAGCAGGCGAAGACCTGACTAAAACATCTACATGTGATATGGGAAACAAGGTTCGCGTTTTTATTTCTCGACATCGCTTTTATCTTTCAACGTGTTACCGTATGAACTTTCTCAGCTTTCGGTGAACACCGATGAGATCGAGGGTTGAAATGCAACTTGGGGTGATCATTAGCCGGTCGGCGGAAAGCTTCGTACCGTAGTGGAAAGTTCGTCAGAACAATAACCACAAAAAAAGTATTTATAGAAAAGGCACATGGAAGCTATGTTACGGCGGTGGGAAAGTGACTGAAGCCGAGATGCCAGGTCAGGACCAATAACGTTGCTCGTATTTCTTTAGATTTTGTCAGAAGCGCTAAATCAGATGTGGCAGCAATATCTGATGCGCAGGCGGATAGCAGACTTGTAGATATGCAAGATAGATTCTGAAGAGAAAAATTGTCTACCTCCCGACATTTCGACGTGATGTAACGGTTAACAAGTTTGTCTCGCTAGAATAATTGCGATTGAGTAATGTTCGATCCTCACTGGGTGCCCCATACTTTCAGCTGTTTGCCATATCTAAGCTACGCTTAGAAAAATCATCAGTCTCTTCGACGAGGTGTAATGGTTAGCAAGCTCGTCTCGCTAGAATAATTGCGATTGAGTAGTGAGTTCTAGCCTTACTAGATGTCCCATAACTTTCGGCCTTGTGACTGCCATATCTAAGCTGCGCGTAGAAAAATCCCCATATTGTACTAACCTTCCTAGCTGCAGACTTAGCAAATGATTCATGTGGTAAAAATCAACCAGCATAACTCAGCGTCCGGTGATGGTCAATGAGGCTAGTCTGGTTGGCCATTACTACTTAATAGTGAGTCTCGGTGCCTCATACAAGATTCAATATTAAATAACCCAACAAAGGTTGATATATGTTTTAAAAAATACACCAACCAACAGTCGGCGTCGAGTAATGGTTAATGAGGCTAGACTGCTTGATCATTACTATCGAATAGTGAGTTCGATCCTCAGTTGGTTCCCTATATAAAATTCGATATTAGATAAACCAACAGGGGTTTGGATGTCTTAAAATCAGCTAGTCTCACCTAACTGAACGTGCTAACGGTTTTCCACAAGCTGATAGCAATACAAAACTTAATTATCTGCCCTTGACCTAGCTATAATTTATGCACCTGTCAAAAGTACAGTCGTCCCCCACCGTTTATCGTTCCAGACCCTGCCGCGATAAGTGAATTTCCGCGAAGAAGGATTCTTTATTTATAAATCGAATATTTTCCTAATTAGAGCACAGAAAACCTGTTTACGACCTTCTAAATACGGTTTTTGGCATTATAATTGCTCTCTAGGCATGAAATAACACCCCTGCAGTCACCTTTACACTTATATTACCCAATATAGTAGACAAAATAAGAGAAAATAAGACATATTAGGCGTTATAAATATTTTATTATCGTACATTAAAATCACACACAAAGTTCTTATGTGTACATTGCTTCATCATCGAACAAGTTGCATTATTTTCCTAGATTAGTGCGAACTTGGGAAAATAATGCATCTTGTTCGATGATGAAGCGATGATGAGATGTACTGCACAACAAAGGTTACTGTTACTCTAAAGCACAACTTTAGTAGAAGAGTCTTCAGGTGGCGCATCGTTGTCTTCTGCTGGAAGCATATTAGGCCTAGGTGGTAGGTGTCTGAGTGCGCGACTGAAAAAACATCGTGATAGGCAGTTGGTGGTGTTGTCTTTTCATCTGCGTGAGGAGGCTTTTGTAGGGTTCCATTACTTCATCAATTGCATTCCAGTTCTGCAATGCACGCATAATTTACGGGTCCCATTCGCCAATCGTGTTATGTACTTCCTTAATAGTTCTCACGACTTGCGTGAGACGCTCAAGTGTATGGCTAATTGCCTCCTCCTCACCCCCAGAAGCCTCTGGCTGCTCTTCCCCCTCCTCACAGGCAGACTTAGTTATGTCTACCAATTCCTCGTCAGTTAAGGGATCCGAATGCACCTTCAGCAGCACATCCACGTCATCGCGGGTCATATCCGACAAATCTTCTCCTCCCAGCATCCGTGCTAGCTCAACTGCTTTATCCACTGCCGCTTGGCTTATATCCTCTGTGGTAAATCCTTTGTAATTGTGAACAATTTCAGGCCACAACTTCTTCCGGCTGAAAAGATCTGAAAAACCGCGATAGAGTGAAACCGCAAAAGTCGAAGCGTGAAGTGGCGAGGACGACTGTATAGCGAGTTTTAACTCCTTGGGTCCAGCAACCGAAAAACTGGGGAAAAAAAATTAACTCCTTCTCCAGCATAGACGTGTATATACGTTTTGACCATAAGTGTATTTTCCAGACACGGACGAATAAACACGTCCAAAACATAACGTTCAAAAACTAGCTACAGACGTATTTATACGTCGAGCTTGATTCTTTTTATGCCTTTCTGAGCTTGAAATGAGTCCAGTTGTCAATTTGTTTGTCTGGTAGAGGTGTTAGTCACCGCTTGGGTACTTCAAGGTACCTCAATTCCTTTTTCTTCTCAAACAAATAAAAAAAATCGTCTGAAAATGAAACGTTTTTCCCAAAATAATTGCCGGGAATTAGGTTAAAAAATTTTAAAAAATGCGATTTGCCGCTACATTGGAATAGGGGGTGGATGACAAAACTAACGAGGCCTAGTTAAAGAACCTGCTCAATCAGGGACGCAGCCCGCAGCCCGCAGCCCCACCCTTCCGACTTGATTCTATGAAAGTATCTAGAAGTGGAGTGGGTGCAATGCGTGAAGTTGCGTCCTTATAAAAGTGATTATTGTAACTGTTTGGTTTAAATGCCGGCAAGCTGGCCAGCAACCATCTAACGGCGGCTGGTAATTAAAATTGAAAAATCAAGTCAAAACAAAGAAATAAAATTATACTCAAATACTGCCACGACGAATGAAATCTTGAGCCAGCTGAAATTCAAATCATCTAAAACAACATCATTGCCTAAGTGAGATATGTCGGGAGAAGTCTCGAACGAAATTTCTTCCTGCCCAAAGTCTCAGGCCAATTTGTATACAGACTATATCAAAAATATTTTTACAAACTGCGGGGAGTGTTCCTCACGCCAAAACAAAGACAAAAGTTAATTCCACATGTCCACAAACCCTTATTTTTTTTTAGTTATTAAGTTTAAAGTTTATGATAGATGGCACTGTGTTGCCATAAAGACTTGATTATATTTGTCATTCATGTATATTTGTGGCTAGTCAGCCTTAAACGTTTAACGTGTGTAGTAGAGAGTTAAGTGAGAAGTGTCCCGTTTAACGATGACAGCATATTCATATCGTGGGGAGGCAGATATGATTTTTACATACGGCCGCGCGAATGGTAATGGACGCGAGGCTGCACGGTTTTATCAGATTCCGTTTCCAGGGCGAAGGCAGCCGAGTCATCCAACTTTTGCTGTTGTTTATCATCGCGTTGCCGAGACAGGATCCGTGGCACCAGAAACTATGGCTCGAGGAAGACCGAGATCCGCTCGTCCGCCTGAAGAACACATTCCACAGGCTGTCGGTGACGATCCAGGTATTAGCACACATCAAATGTCCCTAGCATGGAGGGTATTTCAAGAATAGCTTCTATATCCGTATCATTTGCAATGTGTGCAGGGTCTTTAGCATTCTGATCCCTCACCACATGAGCACTATTGCCGATGGTTTATTTCACAAACTTCCGGTCTGTTGTTTGCCTCTTCAGTCTTGTTTACGGATGAGACAACATTTGGAAGAGATGGAATAACATATTTACACAACCAACATTTGTGGGCGGATCGGAATCTCCATGGTACAATACAAAATAGACACAAGCATCAGTTTACGATTAATGTATGAACTGGAATTGTAGTTCCATATATTCTCCCAGACCGTTTTACAAGAGCTGCCTACAGGTACCTTATTTCAAACACACTTCCAGATCTGCTAGAGGATGTATCTCTGCTAATATGATGATGCATGTGGTTCATGTATGATGGGGGCTCCAGCACATTTTAGTCACATTGTTGGCGATGCACTGGCTGATATCTACCATGAAAGATGGATAGAGTAGAACCGGTTCCATGGCCTGCACATTCCACTGACCTCAATCCTTTGGATTTTAACTAAACAATTGATTTATGCAGTAGACATTAATAATAAAGATACGTTTCATCAAAGTGTCATGGAGTCTGCTAAACCATTCGACACCGTGTAGGAGTATTTGAAAAGGTCCGCAAGTTAATGATACGACGGGTGTATGCGTGTGTAGAAGCAAGCAGAGGACCTTTTGGACATATGTTAATATGGACATTTGGTGTCAGCCCCCCCCCCCCCCCAAGTTTGTAAAATTATTTTGGGATTGTATTTTAGATTGTACATTTAACAACGTCTTCCGTAAACTTTAAACTTAATAACTCAAAAACGAAGGATTTGCGGACATATATTTATATGGACTTTTGCCCTTGTTTTGGCGTGAGGTTCCCGCTCAAAGTAGTTTGTAACAGTATTTTTGATATACCATCAAGAACGCCATCCGCAAACCAGTTTAGCTCGCAAATACGAGAAAAGCAACGCAAAACAAACCAACTCGCTGCAATCCCGATCAAAACCAAATTAACTTACCCTACCACAATTTACAATCAGTTCTTAAAAAGGTTAAGAAATGCGTCACGTGAAAGTCTGGCGACATGCCCGGAAATTAAGACGCCGGGCTGTCGGAGCCAATTCATCAGAACGACGTTACATTACCTCACACCTTCATTTCAGTTTTTACGGCCGAAGTCAAACCACTGACGCATTGATGACTGAGTCGCCATACCAAGTCAGACATGGATTTATTTCTCTTTTTCATACATGCTAATGTGTATCTATTTTGCAGCAACTAATAGCTATTCTGTGAATATGTAGAATTTTTTTTATTTACACCTTTTACATTCAGACTAGTTTTCTCATTTTTATTTTTTTTAATAATGTTTCGACCGTTCATCAGGTATATGTCGATCCGGGTAACCCAAGAATTCCCAACTGAACCCTTTATTTAATTTACAGATGTAGAATGTTCTCGTTTCACTGACCATGTCTACGTATCTCTTGTCAATATTATTTTTATTTTTAGTCCTACTGTTATTGCTCGCCCTGTTACCACTGAGTCCAGTTACACACTGCTCGATCTAGGGATTGAACTCACAATTACTATCACCAAATTCACAAAGCAGTGCTTTAATTCATTAGGTTATTATCCCGTAAGACTATTATCGAACTTGCCTGCTGATGAGTGTTGCTGTTTGTCATGCTTGACTGCACTCAATGAAGACTTTCTTTTGTTACAGCTGCTGCTGCTGTGGAAGATTTTCTGTCGTTTCTATTACTTTATTAGGTAACAAAGAAAAAGGCGTCTAAACGTTATGATAACAACAACAAAGATTAGGATATTAGTCTGCATATAAATAGTGTAAACGATAATTCCTCGTTCCAGAAATTCAGGCGATCAGGGGATAAGAACAACAAAGATGAGGACAATAGTCTAAATATAATTAGTGTAAATAATGATAACTCCTCATCTCAGAAATTCAAGCAGAAGGCAACCAGGGGATAACAACAACAAAGATGAGGACAATAGTCTAAATATAAATAGTGTAAATTATGATAACTCCTCATCTCAGAAATTCAGACAGAAGGCAATCAGGTGATAACAACAACAAAGATGAGGACAATAGTCTAAATATAAATAGTGTAAATTATGATAACTCCTCATCCCAGTAATTCAGGCAGAAGGCGATCAAGTGATAAGAACAACAAAGATGACGACAATCGTCTAAATGGAAATAAATTTGTGACATTCGTACCAACTTTTGCAGTGCAGAATCGTTCCTTTTCGAAAAGTCTTCGGACATTCTAACCCTCTGCGAGACTAACCTCAACTCTTTTATCCTCTCATCAGATTCCTGGTTACCCTACTCTACTTAGAAAGGACTCTTAAGTCCACATACATGGCCTGTTAGTTTATGTCCATGAACATCTCCCGTTGGCTAGGGAACCCTCTTTTGAATGTTCAGACCACTTGTACTTGTGTCGCTGTCTATCTCTACTTAACTCAGTCAGCTATTTATTCTTTCTCTACCATTCCCCTTCCTCTCAAGATTGTTGCGTGCTAAATAGTATTTACGATAATATAAACAAGGCCTTCTCCCTCCAGCCGTCTGCAAACATATTCATGTTTGGAGACTTTACTGTCCACCATAGCAAGTAGCTTAAACACTCTCCCGCTGACCACGCTGGCATCCAAACCCTTAACTTCTCAGTCTCTCATGCTTTATATGGAACATAAGCATGAGAGATGCTTTACCCTCCGAATGTAAATAGTGTAAATAATGATAACTACTCGTCTCAGAAATTCAGACAGAAGGCGATTAAGAGATAAGAACAACAAAGATGGGGACAATAGTGCTGTGGTAAACTCTCCTAAAGTAGAATGAACTCTCTCTCCTCTCATAAATACTAACTGAGGAGCAGACGCAGTGTTCACCTACCTTTAGGACGTTGCAGGGCCAGTCTATAGAGTCTGATGAAGCACTATCTTTAAAACTGTAACAGAGAAATAACTCAAGCAATAACGAAGCTTATGAGGTATTTTTTTTAACGCGCCCCCGTCGATACCGAATGTGACACAAGGTGGAGGTTTAAAGTGGGTTTAACTGCAATACCGTGGAGAAATTGCCCAAGACCCCTCGACAGTTCGGGGTCGTCTCAAGCGCCATGTAATAAACCCACCCCCTCCCAAAGGAGAGGTACTGCCTAGGTGAAGGCTCCATGGGGCTTGGGTTTAATATTTTTTATACTTCCCCGGCAAAAAAATATGAAGCTTTATTTTATTAATTCAGCTTTATTTTATTATAATGGATGGTTACAAGCGAGAGGGGAGATGGGATTTGCTTATTTTATTACCACAAAGACCTAAAAAAATTAATTTGCTTGAAGCCATTTTAATTATTAAATAGAGAAAATGAATTGTATTCACTTTACTTCGGTGAGCGCGCAAATACCAAATTGTTGCCGACATTAAGATATTTTTGATCGACTGAGTGCGACATGAATAGCTTATTTCAATTAGGTTTTGAATAATGACGATACCTGAGCAATATAAATTAATGAAAGT